GAACCAATGCTCTGATTACCAATTTGTCAGATCCTGGCTATTCTACAGATGCAGAGGAGAAGATTGTATGGACGAATTTTGAGAATTGTCAAGGAAAGAGGCCCCGATCGGGGAGATGTATTGCCATCGACGAAGCCATATAAGTTTAGGGTTCATCCCTTAGGAGAATTCAGGAATATTCGATACCCAACTCAGCCACAACCCGATTGTTAAGTAGGTGAACGCCTCGCGGTAACAACAGGAACTTGAACAATGATTCTAATGGAAAAATATATCTAACGGTGGGCGACGAAAGTAACTTGAGGAGTTCCTTGGACCGTTGGATCAGCTGAACCGCTAAGTGTCGAAATGACACAGTTAACTGAAGAATCATCTTCAAATATGCTGCTACCTGACATAGTCACACTTTTAAAAATAAGGATCAGTGCATTTTTCCCGAAAAAAAGAAAAAGGATCAGCGCAAATCAAATGCAGAGTCCAGAAGCTGCTGGTGTCTTCTCCACAAGACCACAATACGGGACCAACCCAATTCCGGCCCAACCGACGAACACAGTCCAGTGACCTCGGGTCTTCACGGGAAGACGAGAGAAATCTCCAGAAGCGTGCTTTCTCCTTCTCCGCCGTATCATCCCTAGCTCTCTACTATAAATTCTCCCCCGTGCCGCTCGACAGGATATACTCCCAGAAAGAGCCGAATATTCGTAGGAGAGGACGAGCTCGCCTGCTCACTTTATCTCCGTGCGCTCGTTTGTATCGGGATCCCAGCACATGGTTGTATGGACAGTAATTAGGCTCCAGGAAAATACCGTGTTGACCCCACAGCGCACGGCCGTGCCGTTTGGTCGGGATGACGGACGGCGCCAGATCACATCCAGTACCCACCGCACAGGAAAGGTCCGCCGTCATGTGCCGTACAGTACCGTCTGCCACTGGCCACGGCCACTCCGACCGAACAGAAGATTGTCGAGCTGTGCACCAAGAGGCTGCTGCTATGATTAAAAACTTGATGCACCGATTTGACAAGATTTCGTTAGGTACATTATGTGCAGGCAAGAATTCATCACACAACCTTGCTACAAAATAGCTAAAGCATGGCAATCCGAGACATAACTTAATACAGATGCAGCAAAATTATTCGGTCATCTTAATATAGCCATAACATAACCTGCAAAAAAAAAAATATATATACAACCATAACATGCTAACAACAAATCCAGCAGCTCCCATGATCTGCAATGATCTCTTTTGAACTGTGAAACTGATCATACCTGAGAAAAATAACAAATTTTTGTGCTCTGAATCTTGTAACATTGCATGCTCATAAACATGAACAAACTACTCCCTCCGTTCCTAAATATAAGTTTTTTTAGTGGTTTCAAATGAACTACAACATACGGATGTATGTAGACATATTTTAGAATATAGATTCTCTAATTTTGCTTCGTATGTAGTCCCTTATTGAAATCTCTAAAAAGACTTATATTTAGGAATGGAGGGAGTAGTAGATATATTTTCACAACTAGGAAATTAGAGCAAAGAAGACAAGAGCGTTTCCTCCAAAAAAATTGTAATCTGCCTAATGATAATGATTTCATTGAAAACATGTAGACTATGTTGACGAGCCTGGCACACACAACATCTAATTAGAAAAATCTTCTATACAAACAGATCACTTGGCTTTGACTAGAATAGTTCTATACTGGCTGGCTGGTTGGACAAGCATGCCCATCAGTCAAAACTCAAAACCATTCAAGCAAAATTGACATGTATTCTGTCTGGAGTAGCAATGTGAAATATGATAAAGCTATGTCAGGGAAATTAGGAAGAACGTAAAAAAAGGAAAAGCAGGAACAAAAAATTAGATCCTTTTTACTGTCTTTCTTTGAGCAGTGAGAAATGACCAAAAAGTATGTTTTTTAGCACAGAAGAACCATCATATGAACAAATAATGTATATATGAGCAGTATTTTTTGCTTAATCTTTTTTTTTTCAATTGGGTTTCAATGGAAACAAAGTCATTTGTTGTAATACACTCGCGACACCGATTGCCAGTGATTGGCTTCTTTTCCCGCTGACACGTGCTTACGTATAATGTATACAGGTTTAGGAAAAATCCTAGCTTACAAGACAAAATCGAATTGTAAAATTGGACGTACCACTAGTAGCTCACATTGTAAATCAGCAGCCTTATCACTGCCAGGCACTCACATCGCAAGATCGAGTACTTCTTCGGCTTCCCCTGCCAAAAATATAAAAGAGTCCACATGAAACACGCCAACTATGTCGGCCTACCAGGAAATGTCTAGAAGACGAACATGACACTCACACCAATTTCAAAGCGCGATCCCATTATGCTCGCGTCTGTGCGTTTGGTCCCAAATGGACAGACCGCACGGCCCAATGCGCGACCCCATCATTACTTTTTGTCTATTTCACGTCTGGTCCGCTTCATTTCCTGCTCAAACATCCACCGGCTTTGCGTCCACACGGACGACGAACGGACGCCGACGCGCTCGCTCAGCGTTCGCTTCGAGCCCGTGTGGCAGCTACGCACCTACCATCCACCACACACATTTACCGCGCACATGTGGGCAGCCCTACTTGGCAGCCATCCCGGTCGAGCAGTCGTCGTCCTTTTTAATGTGAAGGTCGTGGACCGATGGAGTCCACACTTCCACTTCCCCGGTGATGCGTGCCTCCTCGTAGCCCGACAGCCAAACCCTAGCCCACCGCTCCTCTACCTCCCCACCAGCGACAATGGTGGGCCGCTGGTTTCCCGGCCGCAAGACGAGGCACGACCACAAGGCCAGGTCCTTGTCTGGCGGCGTCGCCGCTTCCCCACTCCATCTCCGGCCTGGCAGGGGCCGCCATCCCACCTCTGGCAGCCACCTTCATACGTCGACCTCACCGGTGACGACGATGATGAGTAGACGGCGGCTACGGAAGGCGACGAAAGCCCTTATCTAGTTTCTTTTTACATGTTTTTGTTTATATTAATGTGCGGAACTTGGATAATGGGACGTTTTAATGTTTATATTAATGTTTTCGAGTTGTTTTCAATGTTTATTTGGTTTTTTGGGGTTTTAAATTCACGTCATAAAAACAGTCAGTTTGGGGTGCGGTCGGCCCGTTGGGCGCACCGCAGGCCCTTATTTTTTTTAATGTTTTTGTTTATATTAATATGCTGAAGTTGGGTAATGTGGACGTTTTAATGTTTTCGAGTTATTTTTGATGTTTATTTGGGTTTTTTGGGGGTTTAAATTCACGTATGAAAAAACGGATAGTTTAGGGTGCGATCGGCCCATTGGGCGCACCGCAGGCCCTTATCTAGTTTGTTTTTAATATTTTTGTTTATATTAATGTGCTGAATTTGGGTAATGCGGACGTTTTAATGTTTGAATTATTTTCAATGTTTATTCGGGTTTTGGGGGTTTAAATTCACGTATAAAAAACGGATAGTTTAGGATGCGGTCGGCTCGTTGGGCGCACCGACGACCGCTCAACCGCAAGTGGACGACGATGTCCGTTTTCCTGCCAAAACGGACGAAAAACGAACGAAACGAACGTCCGTTTGGGTCGTGCGTTGGAGTTGGCCTCACTCAGCAAACACATATCACTTTCTGCATTTATTTCCTCCTCTCCGTATAGCCTGCTCTTCCCGTACCTGATGCCGGATCCAAGCACCCACGAGCACAGGTTGTAGAAATCGTGCAGCATCCTCTGAATGTTCTGCCAGTGCAGGGGGTTCGATCTGGGGGTGCTCTGCCACTCGGAATCTGCACTCACAGCAGTTCAATGTATGTTCAGAAAATTGACGTTAGCTGCATCAGAAATTCAGAAAGTACGAGCCGCAGCTTCCTTCGCACACGCGTCCACCGAGCAGCTGTCATCCGTCGGGGCCCCTGTTTCTTCATCGCCACCATTGCCGCGCACACGGCCGCCTCACCGCAATCGCCGTCAATCGACGGCACTGGGAACCTGCTCACCAACAATAACCTATCAACCCACGGAGCCAATCCAAGCATACAGCCTAGGCCAGTGGGAAATCAAGTCGAAAATCTTACCTATCGACCCGATCTGATAGGAACTCGAAGCCTCCCGTCATCCTGCCCGCTGACTTCATTTGCTGGAATTTTTCCTGGGCGTCGTCTCTGTTCGAGTCCACGCAGGAGGGCGGGGACAACGGTGCCTACAACCCCATCCTCGCAAGCGGACGGCCGGCACCGTTGCCTGTTGACTGTTCGGAGTTCGCCGCCGACAATCTGATGTTCCCGCAAACGCCGTTTAGGTCTACTCGGAGCCTGGCCGTCGGTCGCCCAACTCACCAATGTTGAACTGGCCTACTGCATCTAGCAGACCTAGAGCGGGCTGTGCCGGTGGCGCGTAGTCACCACCTGCTAACGCCCGCACTGGGAACCTAGCCAACGGGAGAACGCTCCCTGAGATTCATGATCCACCGTCAATGGAAATCAAACGAGGGCAATAAGCATACCGATCGACTGGATCTGCTAAGAACTCAAACCCATCCTCCACCGTCTCCACCGTCAACCCTCTCAAGCCGCGCACCGAAACCGGAGGAATAGTTTCTTAGAATAGCAGGTACCCTTCTCGTTGGAGCCCAGTTGCCGCTTGCCAGTACTATATTTCCTTATTTTTTCCACCTCAAACGCGGTTTGTGAAAGCCGGTAAACGGAGCTCCGGTTATCTTGTACGGACGGGCCATCATCACCCAGTTACGTCCTCCGTCAACACGTCAGGCGGACCCATTCCTGTACATGCGGCAGTATTTCTACCATCCATAAATGCAGATGAAACGTGAGGCTGCACCATTGGTCCATATAACGGGAGTAGGCGAGCTCGTGCGCTCTTTCGCCACTCTCCAGAAAGAGCACCGATCAAAGAGCTCCCAGAAATCAATCGATCACCCTTCCGCTTCCAACACCAGCCAAATCGTCGATTCCTTCCACCAGCATCTCGAATCCCCACCGATACGACCGACAATGTCGCTGATCCGTCGCAGCAACGTGTTCGACCCCTTCTCCCTCGACTTCTTCGACCCCTTCGACGGCTTCCCTTTCGGCTCCGGCAGCAACAGCAGCGGCAGCCTCGTCCCGCGCACCTCCTCGGACACGGCGGCCTTCGCGGGCGCGCGCATCGACTGGAAGGAGACGCCCGAGGCGCACGTGTTCAAGGCGGACGTGCCGGGACTGAAGAAGGAGGAGGTGAAGGTGGAGGTGGAGGACGGCAACATCCTCCAGATCAGCGGCGAGCGGAACAAGGAGCAGGAGGAGAAGACCGACACCTGGCATCGCGTGGAGCGCAGCAGCGGCAAGTTCCTGCGCAGGTTCCGGCTCCCGGAGAACGCCAAGGCGGAGCAGGTGAAGGCGTCCATGGAGAACGGCGTGCTCACCGTCACCGTGCCCAAGGAGGAGGCCAAGAAGCCCGAGGTCAAGTCCATCCAGATCTCCGGCTAGAGCGATGAAATGGGATGTAGAGCAGTGGTGTGGAGTCTCCCCCCGGTCGTCGTGATGAAATAAAATCAAGAAGAGTCCGGCCGTCTGTGCGTGCGAATGGTCCAATGTTGCAGTCAGTGTTTTGAGTCTCTCGTGTCAGTGTTTTGAGTCCGGTTTGTTGTTGTTTGTTCATCAGTCTGTACTGGCTCTGTACTCCATCAGCAACTGAGTAAATTCATTACCTTCTCTGCTAATTTGTGAATGGCCGTGCGGATCGTAGAATGTTCCTAACTCTCACAATTGAACTCGGAATGAACACTGAACATTACAGTGACGCTGATTTTAGTCGGAGCTTAGGCGCCTCGGTGTCTTGTCAGCCATGTCTTGCCCGAGCTATGTTTTTTGCGCCAGCGTTCCGTATTCAATAGGGCCGCGGACTTCCGGTCCAGCAGCTAGCCTGGCCCAAGTTCGCTCGTGCCTCCGCCGGCGCCGTCACCGTGCGCCGCGGCCCCATCCGCGTCAGGCGCCGGGCACCCCGCGTACGGTATGCACCTTACAGGCCCTCGGCGACGGTTCCATTGCCCCCGCTGGCCTGGTTGGGCTAGCGAGACTTCTCGTCGTGCCCCCACCGTTCCAGACCGCCGCCGGCCTCCCCTGTCTGGCCACATCATACATCTCCCGCCTCGTCGCCGTCAGCTGCATATGCGGGGAACCGCGAGACGAGGTCGCCGAGGAGATCTCGGCTCCGTTCTCCTCATTCGCGATGCAACCGGGCGGTGGGCGTTGGCATGTCCACCGCGCCCGCAAGGTGTTCGGCGCATTGCGCGACCGCGCCCTCGACGAGAGCCCACTGGCGTCAGCGCACTCATGAACACGTGTGATTCAGCTAATCACGTCTACTTGCTCCTTGTGCTGTCGTGCATTTACCAGGGACGGGAATTTCAGAAGCTGGAATCCGGAAGATTGTTCCAATAGGTGGAGGAAGATACAGGCAGAGCCCCTCCTCTCTACCTGCTTCTCTCTAATGCGTGTATGAACCTTATGCAGTGGTTAATCGTCTTGTTGGGATGCAGATGAAGCAGCTGGAAGCCACACAGAGGATCTCTTCCTGCGTTCATCCAGCTTAGTGCTCCCACCTCTAGTTCCGTACCTAAATGGTTTGATTTTGAATGTGCTCCATCTGTTTCACCGTGACAATTTTCATCTCATGGTAGCTATCCATTGACGTAATCAAGACTGCAATTCACTTTTCCCACTGTTGCTTTTGCTTTTAGAACTTGGGAGGAAAAGATGAAATTGGCTATAACATTTCTTTCATACATGTTATTCTCTTCATCTCATTAACATAAATTCCATTCTAGCTCCATGAACACACCATTGTAGAGCCTTTACTTTGCTACTGATGCAACTTCAGAGCAAATAGCACCTTACACCAGGTAGTTTGCAACTTGTGTCACCATAGTAGGTTATGTAAGAGTTTTCACTCCGCATCATGTTCTGCTCAGTAATATTGCACTTCGCACCATGTCCGGCAAAAAAACATGTTTGTGTTTTTTTGGAAAAGATTAACATGAGCATATGAACTTGGGAAACTGAATTTTCATGTATCTGCAAGACATCTAGTTTAGACTGGAGTCGTTATATGAATCACTTAGTTTGAGTTCTGTGCATTACCGATTCGTTTAAATAAGATGGTAAAACAAATTGTAAAATGGGAGAGTTAATGCTGTAACTTTTTAGCTTTAAGTAACCGCTTTTATGAGGTTCTTCTATCCCCTACATTTATTTTGGACTCTTATGTCCATGTACATGTCGAGAACATGACAGTTGGGTGCATTTAATATTAATCTTACTATAATTTTCTATCCAGAAGGGGAGCCTTGGCGCAGTGGTAAAGCTGCTGCCTTGTGACCATGAGGTCATGGGTTCAAGTCCTGGAAACAGCCTCTTACAGAAATGTAGGGAAAGGCTGCGTACTATAGACCCAAAGTGGTCGGACCCTTCCCTGGACCCTGCGCAAGCGGGAGCTACATGCACCAGGTTGCCCTTTTTTTATAATTTTCTATCCAAAATCATCTTCACAAAATGTCTAAGATATCTTCACAAGATGGTGACAAGCACATACCATGTGTTCATGTGGACTAAGAATTAGACCTTTGTTCACTGACAAGCACATACCATGTAAACTAAGTTATGTTCAGCTTGTTTCTTAATTAAAATGTGTTTGTGCTTAACTTTATTTACATGTGCATGTCTAATAAATTCCATTCCATTCCAGGTACACCTCAAAGATGTACTAAAACTATGAAAGGGGTACAAGTCAACCATAAAACTCATAATAGGAGTTAACTACCATATTTGTGCATGCCTAATAAATTCGGTTATGTTTCAGGTACATCTTAAGGTGTACTCCCTCTGACCCCATTTACATGGTGCACATATGTTCTGAGGTCCAACTTTGACTAACAAAACTTGGGCTCTGTGTTACAACAATTACACCATTCAATCCATATTAAGAGTAATTTCCAATGGTATAATTTTTATGATATTTAATTAGCATATCATAGATTAAAAAAATGATGGTCAAAGTTTAATCATGATGAGGGTGCGATGTAAATAGAGACGCATGGAATACTAAAACGCTGAAAGGGGTAGAAGTCAACCAAAACTCATATGTCTCGCTTACATAAGAATGGCAGTGCTTCAATTATTTAGTTTCGAAGAGAAATCCTTTTCCTGGTGCATGCTTCATGACAAAAGAAAGTGGACTATTTATGAGTGATTTTCTTCAGGTAAAATAGGGTAGTTAAATCTTGCCACATAGGACTACCAACTAGTCAGCAATTCACTATGTGCACAAGAACTGGTCAAGTTTACTGTCTGGGACTCGCCGGCCTCCCCTACAGTTTTCAGATCGAAAAGAGATCTGGTCAGAGTGAGAATTAGGTGGTAGGATTGGCCCAACTAAGAAGAGGGGTCTAGACTCCTCCTTCAGTTGTAATCTCTCCTGAAAAGATGCTTCAATTATCTAACTGTACAAGAAATATCGTTCATGATCTTCGCATTTTGCATGTTCAAGATATGCAAAGCTACCGCTGCAAAGAAAGACTTCTATGAAGAACCGGTGCTGCTCTACATTGAGAACTTAAAATCGTTTTTATAGAGACAGTCTTATTGATCACTGGTTTTTCAGTCACCCAGCCACCACCAACTGGCTTCATCAACTGAACTGGGTGGACTAGTTGGGCTCAGTGGTGGAGCGACATGGGCTAGAATAACCATGGGTGTGCAAGACACTTGATAACAATTTTTATGTGGAACCTGGTGTTTAGTAGGTATGCTGCATGTATAGGTATACGTGGGCTACAAAAAATGAGAACTTCACCCATGTGTTCTTGGTACGTTCTTTAGAGCTTGCAATCTCATATGCTAGCCCAATCTGCATTGCCAACCCAAATTTCCAGGTTCCAACGGTCTAGCACTCACTGTTGATGCTTACGGCATGTCTTCATAGCCACACCTTGTCGAACTTTGCCAGAGGTATGGCAGTTCGGAAGGGTACTGTTTATTTTTACTGCTACAACCGTGGTATGCCACACTTCCTTTGCAGCATACCTCACTTGTTATAATCTCTTCGGAGTACCTACCTATCATGGCTATGTGCGGGGGCCCCGGGAACCCTAGTTACTCATAGGTCGATGTGGTCATCATACGTTTTTTATGGTATACCTCCTCATAGTTTAGGACTACCCATCAACATCTTTTATACTTGTCATAGTTAGTAGATAAAGCGTGGCAAAGTCAGCATGTGCAAAGTTTGGCTAGGTGTGGCTATGAACCAAATATTCCCTAAGCATTAATGGTCCCCTGGACAAACGTAATCCCCAACTTAGAATATGACAGTTACTCTCCCTGCCTTCATCTGCATCAAGGAGACAATGCGGCACCAACTACAACCCACCTCAGCAGAATCATTGTCTACTATGTGTAACCATCTTTGAGCGGTAAGAGCGACCTCGTGTGACTTGCCCCACTTTGGGTGTGGGTGCAGCATCGTTCCTGCACATCTTCTCTCGTTCCGCAATGGACAGGTAGAAGGAACAACCCCCTTTGCCTCCCGAATGAGTTGCGCTTGAGCACCTTGCCCAGGGAAGTTGGCGGCTTCAAGGTAGAGGCAGCCGGCAGGGGTTCCTTCAATAGGAAGTGTGTAATTTGAGCTACTGAACTTATCTACTCCTCTGTATCAAAATATAAGACGTTTTTTGATACTTACCTTGTATCAAAAAACGTCTTATATTTTGATACAGAGGGAGTATTGTATATCTTCAATTTTTCTTTTGGACAATGCTATTAACTCTATAGCTATGATTTTTTAACGACCAGCAGTAGGAATTCCTACTGCGTATATTTATGTATTTCTGTGAAGCATGTTACATATTTCCAGCATTCATTGGCAAATTGGCAGTGGAAGGAAAGGTGACCTCTGGTTTCAGTTGTGCTTGCTCACGAATAGTCAGGTAGGAAAAGTTTTTCCTCTGAATAATCTCTCTTGTGTTCAGCCTGTAATGTAAAAGCAGCAAGAAGAAAACCTTAAGCTTCTTTTGGCAACATGATTTCCAATCACTCAAATACTAGTAATGCCTCGGAAACTTAAGCTATCTGCTATCTAAATACTGAACTGCCACCTGTGCTATGTATTCTCTAATATTGAACTTCATAATGTTCAATTATTGTCTTGTTGCTACCCTGCCTTGGCAATTTTTTGCAAGTTTGACCATTGTTTGACACTTGTTTGTTGTTAGCTGTTGCTACATGGAAAAGGGAGCTTGGGGTCCAGATCAATGCTTCAAACCTGCAAAGGTGATGTACTGATGTGTTGCTTCATTATTAATTTAATGGTATTCACACTGTACGCTTATTAACATTCTATCCTTTTGGAGTTTTGAGTTTGAATAGGGCATCAGCAATTCAGCATTAGATGTTGGCGACTTGGAGGTTTGGAGCTGCTTCGGTATGATCAGGGAAAGAGGGCAGCAAGGTAATCTGCTGTCCTAGCAACCACACATATTTGTTAGTGACTAAAGAAATAGTAAAAGGTACCCCCACATTGGTGCATTTTTAACATGCCGAATTTACGTATCAGTATCGGCCTGATAATGATACTACACGTATCCGTATCGGTGCTGCATAGGGTAACACGGTCTCTTGGCCCATAAAACTGAATACGCTTCAGATGTAGAGAAGTCAGGTGTTGTCCAAGAATAGGTCTGTGAGGACTAGTTAATGGATCGAGCTCCATTCATGGCGAAATTCGAATTACAGAGGAGGATTTCGGAGGAGGGAGGTCTTCGCTTATAAGTCACGCACGCCACACACCCACTAACAGTTTTGCCAGCCGCCACCGAATCCTATCTATTCCCAGGTATAACTACACACGCAGATTTGGGCCCACTCCGGCCCAGCAAGCCGAGCGGGTAAGCGAGGCTGCCTCTTGGGCCGTGCTTCTGTTTGAACTCCTTGGTGCTCGCCCTGGTCGCTGACAATCCCTCCTCCGTTAGACACGGCTTGACCCCAAGCCGGTGCCCGGGGAAACTTTAGCTGTAGTGTAATCTTGTCTTCCCACGTTGCCATATCCACTGGCGAAGCATTTCATTTGACTAGGACTTGGACGATGGAATCGGAGCCTCGATGAACCACCCGTTGCTGCAAAACTTGCTCTGGAAACTGGAGCTGATCGTCAGGTGCAAGCATCCTCTTGAGCAGCGACACATGAAACACGGGGTGTACTTTGCTTGCTGGCGACAGGTCCAATCGGCAAGCCCCTTCACCAACGCGCTCAACAATCTTGAACGGCCCATAAAACTTGAACGC